ACATTTTATTTCTTAAAGTTTATGATTTCAAATTTCTAGAAATCACTTTTTACAAGCTTTTTACAAGAAACCAACTTAATATAAAGGAAAAAATCATAAAATAGTAAACACACTTGTACAAAATAAATGTCTAAATCAATATATTGTAATTAAGTACCTAACCGTAAATTGGAATTTATTATACCTATTGTTGTTATGATTAATAAATTATGATAATTATTCTTTGCCAGTGGTTTTTTGATAATTGTAATAATTATAATAAAGATAAGTATGCGCAGGGACAATATTATGTTATTAAACAATGGGACATGTTCAATCAGAAAACAAAAAAAATGGCAATTATTATTTTACTCTGTGCTATCAATTTTTAAGACAAATTGTTCTATTTAATTTTTTTAATTAGCATTTAAGTAATTAAATTACTTTTCTCAGTGAATTTGATTGTATTTCAAAGTATAATTCAGAATTTTTAATTTTATTCGTATTGTTAACATTTCCTTTGTTAAAATATGTTATTATTTTTGAAAATGTCGCTCAACTTTTCAACAACCCTTGATATTTATCTGTACTCTCTTTAAAGCATTATAAGAATCTGTTTTTCTTTTTAATTTCATTAATTTAATATAAGTTTCAAATTGAACATTATTCATTTTTCATAAAACAATGACAATTTTTTAAAACGAATTTTGTGTAAATAAAAATATATTTGTAACTGGAAAACAAACTAATTAATAGGTAATAAAAAACAGGTATTGTATAAATTGAAAGTGCAATTGGTATATCATTTTTATTCATACAATTTATTTATGCAGTGGTAGAATAAAACTTCTTAAAATCATTTTCTCATTTCGGCCATCGTTATTTTTCAGGGGCCGTATATATATATATATATATATATTTTTTTTTTTGATTGTTTTAAATAAACATTGTACAGTCGTCGACGACAAGCAATTATTATACAAACACACAGGTTTTCTTTTGTACACTTGTACACTCTCTGTAGTAGCTGTTGGTGATTATATTCTGAAAACAAAGCCATTCGCTTTCACGTAATTAATTTGAACATTCGCTGTATACACGATAGTAATGTATAACGTACTACCCCTGAAATATTTAATTATATAGGTAAAATGTCTTTTTGGACGAATGCAATAAAGACCTATTCTGTTTCCATTGATCGTTTGGTTAGGTTTTCGCTCACATCTGCAGATATATTATAATACGACTAGGTAGCTGATTTCCTATATCCGCATTGTAATGTTTTGACGACAAAAAGTTTGCCCCAACTTTTCTCATTAAGAGGTCCATGTTTATTATTGTTTCGTTGATACGAGCCGAGTATATACTATATATATATATAGTTTAGGTTGTATATACATATATATAGCAAAAGCCGGTATTTAAATCAAAAATGTATTTAATTATTTTGGATATTGCAGTCATATCACATTTCATTTTTAAATAAACAAATTGTAAACGAGGACTTATTTGATGAGAGTAGTAGTCGTCCGTTTCACCGACTTTAACATTAAAGCCAAGGCGGCTATCTAGTTGTATTATATATCTGTGGTCACGTCATTATTTCCGCAGATACGTGGACCGCAGCGTATCCGTTTTGAGTCCCAGGTGTTAACAGTAAATACAAAAGAGGGTATATGCGGAAATGAAAGTTATAAATTATGATAAACCACACCATGATAATAATATTATTATATTCGAGAATATATATAATTATTTGTTTTGTATTTATGATTGCACATTAAACTAAACGCATATAATAAAATAGTAATGTATATAATATTGCACAAAAAATAAAAGTGGCACATCATTAATGTGTGCTTGGTATAAAATATAATGATCGTCGAATTTATTGTGATTTATAAATTATAATCAAACAATGCGTTGCAACGTCATCACTTGCAGAATCATCAATAAAATATGTCCATGTTCTATTTGGTTTATTCAGTAGTTTTTCACTGAAAAAGCTTTTTCGTTTTTAAAATAACCTTTTAAATTAATCCAATATCGATGACACGAAAATGTAATCATATTATACAAGTTATATCATACTTAAAAAAGATAATACACTTTCTAATCATATACTTAATCATTATTTTCAATGAATTTGCATAAACCATAACATTTCATCTCCAATTAAACTCAAGTTAGTAAATAAGATAATTTGATTTAATTCTAAAAGAAAATTGTTTTCTGCAACCTACCTATCACATATATCGTTCAAACTCGTCTCATTATATTCATAAATAACTATTGTAATATTATATATAAAAAACTAATATCTGAAATTCTATGACATAGAAAACTATAAACTATAAGCCACATAAGCCACTGAAATGTTAATCAAATCAATTTATTCTTTTTTTTTCGATTGCAATCTAGTTTTATTAAATTATTCTATTTTATTTTGTTAACATTTTTAGATTTAGATAATTCAATATTAATAAAGTAGTTTGTATCTACCTATGGTTATAAATATAAGTAGATATTTAATAATGATTTCTTATGGGTGTATATAGGTAAATTATATATTTTGTCGTTTGAAAGGTAGCTTAAAATTAAATTTTTTGATAATAGTCCAAACAAAATAGACAAATTTAATGTAAGATATTAATTACGACAATCGTGGATCATTGGATGGATGAGTAGTATTTTTTATCAACTGAGATTCATTGGGAATTAATTGATTGGAAATTCTGTTCCACGATTATAATAATATTATATTTATATAATATTCACCGTACTTGGTATTTGTGATGACTTGACATATATTGTGCTTACAGAACAGTTTGGCAGAAATCTGACGATAACACTTCATGCGAGTACACACTTTACCGATACATGAATATATGTATAAAATTCACACAAAGTTGGCATTTAAGTAAACAATATAGTAAACACTTGTGGTCTAATGCATAATATTTGATTTATTTATGCATAAATTCTTAATTTTTATTAAATCATAGTATACAATAATATAATAATATAATGGTTTAAATAATAGTGGTTATTATTATTTATTACCTCGATAATCTCCAAGCTTGTCCACGAAGATAATTATTATTTAATTATTTTGCTCATATATGACCCTAATACTTAGGTTAATAATATTTGTATAACTTATGTGCTTTGACTCTGTGTCATGCTTGTAATTTTTATATGAATTAAATAGTTATCAAAATGTTTTAAATTCTGATCTGAACGATGAACGTATTGATTTTTAAAATTTTAAAATGAAGTGTTTCTGACTTCTGTGTGATGTTTTGTGACCTGTGTACACTTTTTATGGTAATAAAAATACTTCGATCATCGATTGAAAGCGTAGTTTTTAGTAATAAACTAGATCTAGTTGGTACGGGGGGGGGGGGGCAGAAGAAACAATTATAAATACTATTTAAAATACAAGATCGGGTAAAATAAAAATATTGCACAAAAACTAGTTATCAATAAAATCAACAATTGTTTATTTATTGTAATTCAATTGTGTTCAGTTTGTTTTTATTTAAATTGATGCACTTGAAATGTTTACCAAATATTTTAAGTGTATCAATGATTATATATAAACAATTGACAAAATATAACAATTTTCGTTGTTATTGATCAAGCTTAAAAATGACATACAATATGCCTTATAGGTTTTTCTGTCTTAAAATTTGGCGAACGGGAGAACGGTTGTGAGGTGCACAAATTTAGAAGGTGAAATACAGAGAAGAAGAAATATTCGTATCACACGTTCAACTATTTGCCATTCTAAAGCAGAGCATGGGCCCCAAATCAACAGTATTATATTCAACAATTGGGTGGACTAGAGAATAATAAAGATAACCTATATAAATATAATATAACAAATAATAGGAATACGATTATACATTTTATGAATCGCACACATCTCATACATTATAGATACAATTATTTAATAATCAATTACTAATATACATATATTACTATCTCAATTATTGTGGTATGCAAAAATCACAACAAATCTGCTTCGACCCACCACAGCCTTACTGCGTTGTGTATACTATTAAAAATGACATACATTGATAATCACAATTATTATTGGAGCTGAATAAAATACGACACTTAATAAATAATATATATAACACCTATACGGTTTGTCTCACCCCCAGCTACTATTCATTCACTCACATGGCCACATGTTAACGACACTAAATTACTTCCACATTATTTCAACATAATTGTAAATAATTGCAGTAGTAGGCAAATCGTACATAACAATTAAATTATTCTGTTTGGATATTTTTGAGACTAAATGAAATGTCATCATCCAATCCTTACTTATGGCTATTTTCCAATATTAATGTACTTTAAATTATTGTAAAGATAGATATATTATTGATACCATTTTCATATTTTAAATTAAATATTAAAATATAAATTGGTTATAGGTAGTCGTAATTGAAACGCAAATTATATTAAAGTTAATGCATAATTTAACTGACCGATTGGTACACATCGATCTGTTTTCAATCCTTTTGTGGTTAAACTTTTATCTACGTAATTAATATTATCAATAAACCAAGTTTAAATTAACCGTTCAAACAATCGGGAAAAAAATATCGCCTTTTTATTCTACCGTCGATAGTCGAAACAATATCTTTTTAATGTTATACAAAATACACGAATTTAAACTAAAATTTAAAATTATGTCCCGGGTGATTAATTATTTTGTAGGTTATATTATGAAGGTTCTAGTTAATATTAACTATTTAGTCTTACTTGTATTTATCATTATGAAATAATAGTGTATTAAGTTGTACTATTATGTTATATATACATTAAATCTGGGGCAGTACTAGGGCAGTACTTATATATTATACTTACCAACTACAATAACATAACATTTATATTATATTATGCCATACCGTGAATATCTTGATATGAACAATGAAATAAGTTTTCTTAAACAAGAAATACACTTCGCATTAATATTTGACTTAATATTTGTTTTTGTCTTGTAGAAATGTCACTGTCCACGCAAAACATATGTGTGTCTATGATCCACACCCCATGCATGTTAAGTCAACGGTGGCTGCAGTGGTAGCAGTCATAGTGACACCGAAGAAACATCATAATTTGACTGTTCTCGTGAGGAATAAGCGGCGTAGAAAATTGACACAGTCGCCTGAGTAAATATCGTGAGTAGAAATCAGCAAAATATTTGCTTTTTCCCCCCTTCATCATGCTATATGAGCAATTTTTCCATCGTCATGTAAACCACTGACGACACTTTCCACCACCTCGTTTGACCCTCTCATCACCCCGACCCCTGCAGTCCGCACCGCCATTTCCAATTTATTATCGAACAACATTTCGGTCCCTCCTGCGGTAGCGGTAGCGGTGACAGCGGTGGCGGACTCTTGCGGTCACTGTATATGTATATATATTACCACACACTGTAATATAATTTGGTTTGGTTTATTTTCCGATGCAGTAGAAAGCCGTCGAGTGAAAGTATATATATATATATATATATAAACTAAAGTATCGAATTGAGGTTTAATTTTCGTTCGTCCCCAGTGCATTGAGATCAATTCTAAAGAATTGTACCACTTTGCTTGGGTTTTTATTTTAGTTTTAGTTTTCCACACAGCGAAAAAAAAACAAAGGCTGATGGTAGTATTTTATTTGAATTGTTAAAAATAGTTTACCCCACGAATATAAATCTATGTATAAATGTTTGTATTATAATAACCGTAACTATACTCTTATGACGATTTATTGAACACAGTATTTTTAATTTTTATTTTCCCAAAAAACTTAACGATTTCACCTTAGCGTTAGATAGTGTGTTGTATAATCAAAGTTCTTAATCCATGGTTCGAAAACTATAGAAATAATTATATGTACCATGTTAGTTTGTTTCACAGTGTGTCAAAGTTTGAAATTTGATTCAGTTATGCAAAATTATTTAATTTGCTTGTACTCTCGAATAATTTTTGATATCTATGAAGTTGACTCACGAGTTTAAAATTTACATTTAATCTGAACGGCGCATATCGGGTTAAATCCATGTTAATACACTTTACAATATACATATATGGTCCAATTATACTGGTCGACGTACAATATTATTATTTATTACAAGAGATTATAATAAATTGTGGTTATCGCACGTCACACAGAATAATATGTTAATTGCATGCAATTAAATTTTACCAATGCAATTTATTACCTACATAGACATGCATTACGATATTCACAGTCACAATAGGCCGAGCTCATAATATTTATTCATCTGTATAATAGAAATTGCTCGTTATTAAAATTTTAAGTTACAAAGTCTCACCGTATTTGAGTGTCAGGTGAAGAGTACAGAACTTATATATTTTATCTCCTCCAACTTGGGAGGTAAATGGCTGTTATATAGTGTCCCTTTCGATAAAAAAAAGTATGGAATTCTCAAACTGTCGGAGTCAGGGTAGGGTGACAGCCACGCGTTGAAAAATAATTTATAATAAAAAAATAAAAATATAATTTGAGGGGTAGAGTTAATAGATGGTTAGTGGACTACAAAAAATGAACCTTTTGAAGATATATATAATAATAGTAATATAAATAATAAAAATGTAGAATATCATCCAGGTAAAAACGTTTGTTAATTTATTAATATTAAAATATTAAAATCAAACTCAGTATTTAATTATATTTTACTAGAGTTTTTCTTTATGAGAAATTCATTAATGTACCTATTGTCATACGCGTTTACGGATATTTCGTTTTATATATTATTTTATTTTATGTTTTAATAGTAATAGTTGCAACTTGCAACTGAAGTCTAGATAAATATAATCTAACACAATCACTAATGTTTTGACAGTGATAATATATTGTGTTCGAATAAACTGTATCTATATGTTATTACGCTGGAATGATTCTCTAATTTAAATATAATTTTCAATATAATAATATGTATGTTTGGTTTTATTTTTATGCATCTGAGAATTTAAATGACTCTGACAGTTACATAATTTATTATATAGTTCATTCATCGAATAATTAATATAGGTGGATAATTTTCAGCTCAACAATACAAAATTTAGTTGTTATGTGGTTTTTCTATTGTTTTGTTGAACAATTATTTCGAAAATGAAAATCCAATGAAACGATTAAAATTTAACTATACGAGAATGAACCCTATAAAGGTTATAACTCAATTTATTATGAAATATTACTTATCAGTTAAACTGTATACAAATGTACATATTGTATATCAAGTTAATTTTCATGTTTGAAAAAAAATCGTTGAACATTTATTGAGATAAAAACTAAAAATTAGTTAGAACTTTTAGAAACCAAAGTTGGACTATTTTAATGTTTGAGGATATCGTCTCATGATTATACTTCATTCAGTTTAATAATTATTGTTAAGAATATTGAAAAAATTAATTGGAAATGAGCATTTGAGGTCAATTTTTAAGTCAATTATTTTTTACATAATATAAAACATGAAACCTTTAAAGTTTATAATGTAAAAAAAATCTTATACGGCCATGATACAATTCGGTTAATGTGAAAACTTTTTTCGATTATAAAATTATATTGATGGATGGATCAATGAGTATTCGGTTATAAAAAGCTGGTGCGGTATATAGTATTGAGCGCATTTGTACGACGGAGTTTGATTTTCGGTATTATATACGCAGTTTTCAAATATTCGGTGAAAAGTTCATCTGGGTGTAACCGTCATACTTTGCTCGGCATTTCCGACCAAGTGAACTTGCACAGAACTATTCGATAAAACGTTCAATATATTTTATTTGATTTATTAAAAATACCTCGACGGCCACGCCCAAATAATGTTTCCTCTTCAAAAATGGATTTCTTCCGACGCGAACGACGATAATAATAATACTATTTTAACCGGCCATATCGAGGAATATCAAGTTTTAAACAAAGTGCAGAGTTATAATTATTTCTGTAGGATATTTGTACAATAATTTACAATAATAATTACGTATAAAACATGATTATACTCCCGTACAATAAAAACGTTCTGTCATGTTGTCTGCAGCAGTTTAATATACCGTGTTGACGGCAGATTTGTATATTTGTACTGTGAATGATAGATATAAATGTATATTAAAATATGTATACCCCCAGTTGTTGCACGTAAATATCGTTTACCCAAAACACTGATAACACCGAATTAGAGCTGTCGTTTTAACCCCAAGCGAACGCCATCGATATGACGGACGCACGTCACAATATTATTGCGGCCACATGAAAAGCGTATCATTTTGAATTTCCACTAATAATAATATAATGTTTTGGCTCACGATTTAAATTATTATTAGTTGTAGTAGTATTAGTTATCGCGTGGGTGACGGTATTGCAGGTGTCTGTTAGATAACAATATAGGTAGGCAACTGATATAATATTGTAATTTTGTGCAGGATATTGTACTATAGGTACAATAAAGGGAGGTCTGACACTGTCATGTACAGTAAAGTTTTCGTCTAAACAAAGGATTAGATTTTCACGATGATAATCAACCCGTACCACTCACGGTTGATCTCGAGTCTTTGTCAATCACACGTGGTATTCAGTATACTACAGCCTATTATATAGTTGTAGGATAAAGAACATAATGTGATACACATCATCCCTATTGAGACATTTTAATTTGAAAGGAATGGCGGGGGGGGGGGTGATTGTAGAAAAATGAATTTTATTTGTAAAATATTATAAAAAATAAAGTAAATAATACTGTGCTCTTTTTGCAACAAACATATTTTGTACCCGATGGTGCTCGAGTAACTGAAATGCAGTAGGTATTGAACTATAAGAAGTGTTTTGAGTAATTGTATATATTTTTTTATACAGTTAACTTTTAGTCGTTTAAAATAACGCGTTTAGTTACCTAATAATCGTAATGAAATTTAAAAAAATATATATGAGTGATTTTCGTACTAAAAAGGATGTACCGTGGTCCCTGCCCCCCTATCCTTAATCCATTTCATTGGACAAATTAAAATCACGATCCACGTGAACACTCATTGCCCGATACTCAATGTTTAGGGTTCGTTGTATGCACATATACACGGAGCCATCTATTTGATATTATAATAATAGGTATGCAATATGTTGTTCTCGACTTAAAACCAAACGTGGATCGCGTAAGTCTTCATGAGTGTAGCTATTTGACTATTATAGGTTCTACCGTGATAATTATACGTGAGCGAATGACTATCATTGTACTATATGTATATACGCCAACGCCGCAGTGGTAAGCAGACTTAATATTGTTGATATCGATATGAAAATGTTGTATACACATGCACATTGTGCACTTGAACTTTTAAGTCGATATAATATGCATAACACACATATGTATAGGCATATTGTACATATTATATCCAAACGTGTACCTATGAAGCCCTTTTTCGGCAGTGTATTTTTAATAGCTGCAACCTATCGCAATGTACATAAACGTACTTACCCGTATGGGCACGTGACCGAACGACGCGCCCCGCAGAATGACCTCCGAATTCCTTACATAAATGAGCCTCGCGAAACGTCTTCTCAGCAGACGTCCTCTATATACCTTTTGAGAGCGCAAATACCATTAATCACCGCCCCCCTCGATATCTCTCTTTCTCTCACTCTTTCTTTCTCTTTCTTAGATAATATGTACGATATATTTCCCGTTTATCTCCGCGGTGCTCGTAATCGTCCCCTCACAACCATCGTCACCAAGACGCCGCGACCGATCAGAGGTTCAAATACCTATAGGAATGATAGCAATAATAATAAAAATACCAACTACAAAAAGTCTCGACGACAGTCGACAGACCGCTGCCGCTGCGGTGGAACAAAAACGCATTTTGTGGTCAAGCATATCGTCGGATTTATGTGTGCATAATGTGAGCATTTTGACTGTCGACATTCCACGTTCTATGTACAGGGCGTCCAGTGAGGATTTACCCATTGCGATATCTCCTGAAATACTGGAGATATCAGCATTCTGATTTTTGTACATGATTCGTATGGCCAAGGACTATGGGTATTTCATATTTTAATTGAATTTAATGGTTTGATAAAAATGTTAAGAAAAAATAATTCGTTAAATGATTTTAAAGTAAATTGAAAATAACAATTTTGTAGATTTATTTTTCTGAAAATGTCGACGTATCAA